AAAAAAAAGAGATCTATCTGCTTTCGGCATAGTGCAAGGACGAAGTTAGCGGATAAAGACCGAAGATAGGAATGGGAAGACAATGGTGGTTTCGATGTGTAAAGTTTGCTCAAAAACAAAAGCGTTATTTATCCTAAAGTCCTCTTGTAAAGAAGTGGCCGAGACAAGCAATTGAAATCATAACGTCAATGAAATTGAATTTTCTAACTCCGATTCTTCATCGGAATTTGAGCTGGACATTGACGAACTGCAACAATAATGTGTTGTTTTTCTTTTAGTGCATTATTAAGTAGTTTGTTTAGATATTTCTAGATACAAAGTATTTACATGCGAAAACATGCCGTTTTTGTCTACTTTAACGTAAATATATTTTTTTGGTAGAACGCGCGCCTTAGCAAGGCGAGGCGCGCGTTTGAGCACGCGCCCGCTAAAATGCTCACGGAGAGGCCTGTTATATTGCTTCTGCTGAACCTATTTGCTACATAAAAGAACAGTGTGTAGTGTAGCATGCACCTGTTTATTTAGGGGATCACAAGATGATTTACTTGAAACCTTATCCACCCAAAGTAATTAACAGCAGCAGTGCCAGCCAACAGGCTCTGGGGGGGCAAAACAGTCATTTTTAGTTCATTCCCTATTTGCCATCTGAAAACACCCTTTTAACAAAAAGGAACACCAATTTTACATGAAGAAAATGCCCATGACTCAATTTTGGTTACGTAAAAGCAGTTTTAAAATCATACAAAAAGTATGTTCCTCCTCATACATCTTCTCACTAAATTTAGACAAAATACAAAAAAGTGATCCAGATGAGAACTAGGTAGATGTGCCCTCAATTTCCCCCAAAAGGCACACTAACTAGCCTTGATTTGCCCCAGATGTTATTTGTAGTTGATGCACATGCAAGTTAAGACACTGGTATAAGATGAGGGATCTTGAAACAAAAAAAGGTGCATACATCTGCAGCCTTAACTGTTCAGTTTATTTGAATTCACTATCTCAAGATAAGCTGACTATCTCCAGATTATGCTCACAATCTCAAGATTAGCTTACTATTTTGTGACCTTGAGCTCAATACCTTAAGATTATCCTGCTCTCAAGCTTACTGAAAAGGTACATGATAAATTTTTCAACAGCTTATTTCATACCTGAGTTGCATGTTGGCATTCTGATGTGGCAGGAAACTGCATTGACTTTGGGATCTGATCAAGTTCAATATACTGTTCATTAGGATGTGCGTCAAAATCATCCTTTGGTTGTGTTTTCATGGTAAAAATTCTCCTCAGCTTACAGTTTGCACATACTGTTATACTCTCTAGACTTTTAAATGTAATTCCTTTGAAACTATCTGCAACAATTGACTTGAGATCAAGACATAGATTGAGCCACAATCCACGTTTAAGTAGTGTGAGAGGGATTTTTACATGAAATGAAGTGACGGAAACATCTTTGTAATTTGTTGACATTAATATTCTTCTTTTTTGATTTGATGAGTCTGATATCATTGCTTCTAGAGAGAAGCTTGCACCTGATGCTACCCATAGCTGGATAATCAGATATGACTGCAAAATACATAAACTCTGTTTGTCATCTTTTGGAATGACTAGTTTGGTCTGTGTTGATTCCCCTTCTAATGTCAAAATATAGCTTTTGATAGTTTTGTCGAAGTCTCTTTGGCCTCCATTTAATGAAGATCCTAGCAGTTTGCATTTTGTAGTTATGTCCTTTGCCTGGATAGTCAGTATCTCCAGTGCTGAACCTCCCTGAAAGGAATTGAAAATGACATTGAATTTTTGGAGATAGCAGTTCCAAAGAACAATTGTGTCAGTGCAAGGCTACCTTTTATGCAGGGCTTTGCTACTATAAAAAAACAAGGGGAAATTTTGCAAAAAATACATCCAATAAAGTTCTCAAAAGAAATGTAATGAAAAAACAGCCATCAAAGAACGAGGAGACCTCTTCAAAATATAATCCAAAAAACTACCACAGTGATCTCTCTCTCAGTCTGGAGAGTATGGCAGATGCACATACGATGTCAATGAATATTGAAATGTGAACTTGTATGCCACGTTTTACTAAAGCACTATTATGAGGAACTCTTTTTGCAAACCATGAGTCATACACTGCATTTATCCTCTAGAACTGCCCTTCTCTGCAAGCTGGGCTTTCACAAGATCAATATCAAATAAACTGCCTCTAAAGAACAAGGTTGGCTGACATAAGAAATATATCCAAAACAATAAGCCACAGTCCCTTTGACAGGAAAAAGTAAAAAAAATATTCACAAAGTTCATGTGAAAATTGGCAGAATTTATGGTAGAAGTATGATACAAACATTCTTCAGATCTCTTATCTTTACTTAGTAACCACAATTTATCAACACAAGCGCTTTAAAATCTGCTCATGTTCTCAGCAAAATTTGCTCAAAAATACTTGATGGCCAACTTGACATATTCGTACTATTTCCAGTACTTTTCTGGGTGATTTAATTAGTAAACGAAAGTTGACTAATTCTCAACACAGAACAAAACAGCTGATTTTGGTTTGCGGGTTGCAAAAGATTTCCCTGTTATACCTACATTTACTAAATACGACTTAACTCAGCGTAAAAGTAACCCGTGATTTGGCTGAAAGAAGATAATATATCTGTTAAAAAAGAATCAGTAAATGGGCGATCTTGCCTTTTAAGGTGGAACTTTCAATCGAGATGGGGAAAAGAATCGTCAGCCCGAGATTCAATGCAAGCAGGTACTTAGCCTAAAATTCATGCCCAAAGCGGGTCCAACATTGATCAAAAATAGCAGAACTGCGCGACGATTAGTCCACTGCATCTTTTTCCCTTTCCAGTTTCCATGGCAAACCCTTTCTTTTAGAACTATAACCCTGTGTTACATCACATCCTGTTCATTATATGTTAGTACACGGTTTAGGCCGTTACTAAATAACTGGCAGTCAAAGCAAAAAGTTTTGTTCAGCTATATAATATATCCAAAATAGTACCTGGAATTCATTTTTGAACATCCTTCATCTACTGCATCTTAAAAATGTTTATTGTTGAATGACTCCAATTGAGTTTGTTTTACACCACTCTCTCGAAAGTAATCGCGTTACTAGCCTGTCCGCGCAAACTTGTAATTCTCTTTTCCTCCTTTGCGGTTTTGTTTTGAGCAATCTGATTCATAATGGCTGTCTACAAAATCCATAATGGCTGAAACAATCGGGGAGAAAAGGGAAACAATAAGAAAATCTCTTTTGTTTCGTAACCTATGAAAACTTTTAAGTAAGTAGTTTTTATCGTGCGGATTTCGAACATTGACACGCACTCCAAACATTTTTAAAAATCAGCACGGAAACCTTAAAGCCAAAAAAAATCATTTTTCATTCCATTACTCCTTTAAGTTTAGAGACCCCAAAAAAATGTTATACACTCCCCTCACGAAAGTATCAGGACAGTTTCGAAATTAGTTGCGAATCTGTAGTTAGAGAAATTTGTTTACAAATTTCAAAGTCAGTTTTCATGAAAACAGTTTTATCAATTTCCTCGAATTTTTTCTTGAAGTCTATTTGTTCGTCGAAAAATAATAATCTTATCGATGTAAACTCTGTGAGTGTGAGGGTTTTTCCTCAAGACGGTAGCGACCGAAACAAAAGAATTGACTTCTGAGCAGTGTCTAGAAACAATGTTCTATCACAATGATAGGAAAAAGCTATCATTAAATTGCTAGTATCGTTGGATGCACAAAGACTGCCGCTTTCGTGATATGCAAAGAAATTGAAAAACAAAAAATCTAAAAAATTTTCACGGTCAAAAAGGGCAAGAGCTCTCGTGACACCAACGTCTTAGCATTCAGGCCTAACCAAATTTTCATCAAAACTTGTTTGCGTCATTACGCAAAATTACATTAAATGTTCACAAACAATTACACTTTTACAAGCTGTCGATAAATATTGCAAGGAAAATGATAAAGAATTGTGAATGTACCCAGTTGCTGACCGATTTCAGCAAGACTTGCAGCGGTAGAGAAATAATGTGTCTTTATGGTCCTACATGTCTGCTTTGCAAGAAAGTTTATGATCTGTTAAAATGTTACCAAATATCATCCATGTTTTATAATCGATCGTTGGCATCTCCATGTAAATATCTTCCCAACTGGTAGTAAACACGTTGTATTTCTCTTTATTTAAAAATACTTGTGTCTTAAGAACCAGTTTGTAGAAAAATACCACGTTTTATTGGCCCATTTTAACTGAGTCCAGTCCAAGTCATCTGACTTGGCTGTTTTCCGCGTATTTGACAGCACTTTAGCGCAAAGGTTTCTCATTTTAACAAAAAATGATAACAAATCAGAGACAATCCCAGGGCTTAAAATAAGCGTGGATTAGACTCACTTTGTGGAATTGTAAATTAAAATTGTGGAACTGTAATTGTAAAAAATGTGGATTTGTAAATAATGCATGTTCTTTAAAGTGTAGCATAAAATACCAGTCGAAACGCCTAAAAAAGAAATGGCAACATTCTTTCGATTCGAAGTGAATGCCCAATCCCAGCCTTATGTATTGCACTCACTTTTTATAAGAAAATTGCGATAAGAAATAAGCAATGGACAATAATGAAGAATCAAGAAACTTCAGAGCTCGAAGCTTCAGTACATGCGGAGAAAAATCAATTGCGCTTTATGATATTGTTGTGTGCTATTCTGAAATAAGATGGACTCGGCACACAGTAACAGTTCTGCTGGGAACACGTTTTTGTTCCTTTTGACGGTGATTTATCTTGTGTGGTCAAAGATAAATTTGTATTTTATCTAACTCGGTTTTGTATATGTTTATATGTGTATATGTATCTGAATAAGGACATAAAGAAGCAAATATTTCCTGAAAGGGATGTTTTCTGGTGTTTCAAAGGGCGTGGCCATGAAAAATTAAGGGGCAAGACTCCTAGTCCCGTTCCAGCCACTCCCTTGTGGGCTGGTGCCAGTGTGACCTGATCTAGCGTAATATTGCATAATATTGGCTAAAAAACGTCCTTTAGCATGAAATCTATTATAATTTGGAATCTGGCATAACTCTGGCGTAACTCTGATGTTATTTAAAAGAATCATTGTTTCTTTTGATCCATTGTTTATCGTTACCAAATGCAAACACTTTACACCAGCATCTGTGGTTTCATTTTGGGAGTAAATTGTGACTTTCCACCTGCAGGATTTTGCTAGTTGTTTTGAATGGTTGGCAGCCACATATTTTATAATTGGCAGCCAAATGCAGCCAGCTAAACGCAGTATACAGAAGAGCTAAATTTTTGCTAATTATTGGGAGTGATACCGTAATCAAAACTTGCTTTGTGGGTTACAAAAGTTTTCACTTGCTTTTATTTAGAACTGTCTGTTATCTTTTACTTTGTTTCATCATTCATCATTTGCAATTTTGAAATTATTTTAAAAAGATTTAAATATCATCTTTGCAAAAATGTTTCTTTTGCATTTTTGTTGTTTTTTGCAACATGCTGCCAGAATTCAGCCAACTTTTGCTTCTTCGGCCAAATCAATTTATGACGACCAAGAGGTTTTGAGAAACTGTCAAAATGGAGAAATTTGGCAATCAAACCATGAATCTAAATTGCCTTTTTGTTTATGAAGAATGAGTACACTAGGTTGTCAAAAAGGCCAAATTGCAACTCTGGCCACTTTTGATATTCTGAGCATGCATTAGCCTCTTTCTCGAGCAGGGTTGCCTTGATTTGAAATCTAGCATAATTTTTGCAAATCTAGCACAATCGTATGACAAATTTGGCGTAATTCCAAAATTGAGATCTGATTCTTGTGCGTGGTGTCTGCATTACAAACAAGATGGGGGTGAAAAGAGAATAAGAACAAACAAGCACAATTTGTACATCAGCGAAAGAAGAGTTTATTTGCCAGCTGTAACGAGGTTTTCGTTTATAGTATCAACACTTTTTGAAGAACAGAATTTGATGGGCTGAAGAATTTGATGGGCTGAATGCAGTCATAAGTAAACGAGACATAAAAAAGCTTCATCCAGCTTTTGTCCCGGACAAAATATTTTTTTTATTTAATCATGCATTTAATTTTGAGAAATAAACAACTAAGATCACAGAGATCTGAGACTTGATCTCAGAGGAATTCTACCAGACGAGACAATGGCTCGGATTCTTGCAGCAATCCCTAATTTTGTCGATGTAGAGAGGCTGATTCCTACCTACAACAAGATAGAAGCTGGTGGGGAAAGCAGCATAGCTCCAGAAAAGCTTAACAAAGATATGGATATTGCAATAAATATGCTTGATCTCGCAAGTTTGGAGTTCCGAGAAAAGCTGCAAAGATATGGCTCTAAAAAACCAAAAAAATACCTGGGGAGCATGGCTGATTTAAGGGAGTTTTTGAAGGTGAAAGAAAATAAGAAAACCTTGACAGAGATCCGAACAAACCATGTAAAAGAGTTTCTTTCGATAACCTTTTGCTCACATATTAGGACCGCTATATGTAGCTAATTTTCTTATTAACCCGACCCATTTATTGTAAAGAATCCGCTTTTTCTACTTATACTTTATTCATGTAAAAATTTTCCCAATTAGGATATGCTATTTGCACTATGATGGCAGTTTTTATATTTGCCACCCCCATGATGCCAATCCCAACAAAGTCCCACGCCCAATTTTTCTAAAAAATGTGGATCTGTAAAAATTTCTTATTTTAGGCCCTGAACAACCCAAAACATCAGAGACACTTACACTTGCCGAAAAGATCAGATGTTACAAAACAATATCCCAACTGAGCAAAATTGCTTAATCGTTTATTTTAGTTGGTAGTTCTTCTGTTGACATTTCAGTCAAATCCTTTTTAGATACAGTCTCTGACCATCCCAAAGATACCATAAGTCTTTCCTTAGCCCTTTCAAGACTTTAATACTTGGCCCTTCCACTTACAAATACGTTTCGGCGGCTCTGCTTTAGATACTTTTCATCTCTATTTTTTAGATTGCTTTGCTTTTGCAGAACGACACCCACATCTCTTGTAATTTGGGCCTTTATTCAAGGCCCCATTTTTGAATCTTGGGATACAATTTTATCTCCCTCCAAAAATACCCAGTTTCTTTACGCGGCTATTTTTCATGATATGGTACAAAATAATTTTCGATAATGGTCACAAATTTAGCAATATTTTTTGGCAATGCCCTGCTATCTCTGCAGTGTATACACTCCCCTCACGAAAGTACCCGGACAGTTCGAAGATCGATTGCGCTTTCAGACAAAACCAGTTTAACAGACATTTTGGGCCTAGATACGTACTTCAGCAAGACATAAAGACAATATTTAATAAGAAACAAAAAATGTTTCGTGAATAGAGAGACACCTTCCTGTGGAAAAGATTACAACCAAATTCAGTGGCTGACAGGCTCAGGATTATTAATCGACCACAAAAAACTGGAGGGATCCTAGTGGGTGTGGTCTGAACACTTGGGCATGGTTAGGTAAAATGTTATCCTAATCTATCAATTTCTAAACAACATAACATATGTAGGACAAATAGCAAAGCTAAACTGTTACTTACAAAAAGCGCTAATTACTCCAATTGGAATTTAACATTAAATAATGATTCTGTCTGATATGGATTTCAGTAATTTTGAGCAAAAGTTCAAATCTTCTCTTCGATATTCAATGGAAACAGGTGGGGCCAGCTTGAATATGCTTTCATTAAATTAATTTTCTATATAGCTGTGCGAATATTTCACATAATAAGAAGGTTCCCTTGGATCTTTGGTAATCATCCGCCAAATTTAAAAAAAACGATCAATGTAAGGAAATTGTATCAGGAAAGATTTTTTAAAATAAAAAACGACGTTTCGAGCATAGCCCGTTATCAAGTAAAATTGAAAAGCGATGATAGAACTAAAAAAGGTTAAAGGAATATGGAATTCGACAAATGGAATAGGAAGAGGGATATAAGAGCATGGAAAAGAAATATACATAAAAAGCTAATAAAAGTAAATATATTTATACATATACGCAAATACAGAATTTATGTATATGTATATATATGCACACTAATGTGAAGAAAAGAAAGAATAAGGAAAAAGGAGGGGGGGGGGGGTTATTGAAGATACATAAACTGTTTATTAAGTCCAGAAGGGTATAAAGTTCCAAGTTTAAAAATGATTCGTTTTTCCAGTGACTTTTTTCTTTGCACTGTCTGTTGGGGCAAACCAGAGGCCAAGAGCTACCATGTCATCTTCTGTGTGATTCGCCAGGTTAAAATGTTT